GGCTGGGGATTCGAACCCGCCACCTTAGGTGTACGTGGCTGGCGCCTTAGCCGCTTGAGCTATAGGCGCCGAGCCTCTATTTTCTTTTCAAATTCATCACATTCTACTTAAACACTTGCAGCATTCTCATCAAAGTTGTCAGCATGACTAGGCTCTATGTCAGTAGAATTGCCAGGCCAGAAGGTGGGCTCAGCTTCTTGGGAGGCTGAGGCAAAAGGGTTGCTTAAGCCTAGGAGTTGGAGGTTACAGTGAGCTATGGTTATGCCATTGCACTCCAGCCTGGGTGACAGAGCAAGACCTTGTCTTAAAAAAAAAAAAAAAAAGAAAATAAAAAACATGTAATTAAAAAATTTCATTAATATATAAGAATAGTAGCTTTCAGGATGATTTCTGGGCAGTCCCCACACGTTCATCTATGTTAAATGTCTTCACACATTGAAAAGAAAGGCTTTAATCTTATGATAGTCTTGGTTCTTTCATACCCTACTAAAGATGGACTCCAGGTGGACTGACCTACTCTTCTGATGCTCCAGCAGCAGGAATTCTGATAGCTTTGTAAGAGAGAAAAGTCCCCTGATTTACACTGCAGTATTAAGGGTGTAACTTTTGTGTCTCCATTCCTCTCCCTTGGAAAGAGAACTTGAGCGACCACCTACACAGTGCTTGCTTCTGGACTGTCGCTATTTATAGAGTAAATTCAGGGACACTATAATTTTAGACGCAATGACCCAAAGTCCATTCTATATAAAGATATAGATGCCACTTTCTATTTTTAAAAGCTAAACTTCTCTGTTTTCCTTAATCATTATGCTTCCCTAGCTCTCTTGTGCTAGTGTGGACATACTTATATGTTAGCATAATTGCCGAAGTCGATGAGCCGTTTCACAAAAAATCAATTTTTGTTTGTTTGTTTTTTGGACAAACATTTTTATTTAAGAAATCAAATAGGGTAAAAACAGATGGTAGCAATTTCACACACATGTACAAGACCAAGCTTAGAATCGCTTGCTCAAATTCAGAATGGAACACAATTCTTCGCATTCTCACAGTTAACTCAGAAAATATACGATTACTTGTTTTCCCGTGGACATTCGCCGCTTTACTGTAAGATCACACACCCAGCCCCTTCCATGTACCGCCTAAAAGGCCAATAGTACAAATGTTGGTGTACTTCAGGCTTTTCTCTGATAGCCGTTCTAAGACGGCTTCACAACTTTTTACAAGTACAGACACCAACAGGTTCTCTTAGCCTTTAGTTACTGTCTGAAGAAAGGACACAACAACAAGGTGACAGAAGCAACACAGGTCACTGTGAACTCTAAGTGGTCCCAGCCTCCTGTTTGATAAACATGGATCTATGACCCTAAAAATTCTAGCAGACGTGACAGGGGAAGGCCCATGACATTTAGCACTGAAAAAATTTTCTTTGGCTTCTTAGGTAGTGCTGGGTATACTGGGTTTTTTTTGTTTGTTTGCTTGTTTTAATGAATGTGAGAGTTTATTTATTTTTTATTTTTTATTTATTTTTTTGCAGTTTTTGGCCGGGGCTGGGTTTGAACCCGCCACCTCCGGCATATGGAGCCAGTGCCCTACTCCTTTGAGCGATAGGCACCTCCCGGGTATACTGTTGATACATTTTTATAACAACATCTCTAAATGTATAAGTAAACCAATGAATATACTATCCATTTCCTTATTGCAGAATCTTTTTAGTTTTAAATCTATCAAATCTTGACTGTGACATGTGTTTTTGAACTGTTACATCAAGGTCAAACTATATGATTAGGAAAGTCAAAACTATTCTCAACTTTTAAAACAAAAAATATTTTAATATTGATAAGGAGCTCTTTATAAATAACACTGTTTACAAAAAAATATTGATCTATGGATAAGTGTCATGAAACAGAATGTACTATGTTTCAATATAATAGCAGTTATATTCGGTTTAGATAAATTGACACTACAAGTAAAGTTTTCCAGGCTATTTAATCAAGTTACTTACAATGTACACATTCCTGAGTATACCCCATTGTTGTAACATTGTTTTGGAGTTTTTCCGCATTCAGCTTAAAAGGTGTTTCTTCTCAAGGAACTAGACTTTCCTGTCAAATGCCCTCGATCAAATAGGAGAATTCGGTTCATAAAATGGATTCATTGCAAACTTTATATATAAATTATAGACATCAGTAAAGAAGTTCTTTATTCCATCTTCTTGCCTTATGTCGTGAAGCATAATAAATCTCATATGCCCTGCAGTGACAAATGCTGACACAAAGCACACATTGAACTTGTCCACAGGTTTTAAGTACATGTTGTTTGACAGCCACATGTTCTTATCTACCAGGTCAAGGGCAGCATGAGCTAGGAACTGGTTCAGATGACGGTGGTCATCTTTGGATTCAGCTTTCTCAGCTGGCAAAGACTCCATTTCAAAAACTGGTGGCCAACAATTTTTTTTTTTTTTTTTTGAGACAGAGCCTCCAGCTGTCCCCCTGGGTAGAGTGCTGTGGTATCAGAGCACACAGCAACCTCCAACTCCTGGGCTCAAGCGAGTCTCCTGCCTCTGCCTCCCAAGTAGCTGGGACCACAGGTGCCCACCATAACACCCAGCTATTTTTTGGTTGCAGCCATAATTGTTGTTTGGTGGGCCTGGGCTGGATTCGAACCCACTACCTTAGGTGTATGTGGCTGGTGCCTTAGCCACTTGAGCCACAGGTGCTGAGCCAGTGGCCAACAATTATAAAGTAGAAGCTTCCAGACATTGTTTTCAATATATGGCTCTTGCAGTGAGATGCAGACAATGAAAATGCCCAGTCTGTTCCTGCCGCAGAGACCAACGCTCTGCAGCTTCATTTGGGACTCCTGGAGCCTTTTTTTTTTTTTT